CAGACAGTAAAAGAAAGAAAAGACTACATTAAACTACAGCTTCAAATCTTTCCCATTTTTGCATTCATGCTTCGAGTAGCTTACAAGATGTACCAGTGTATCAGTTTGTGTACCTGGTATTTGGAAAGCAAGGAAAGATGATGAAGATCAGTAGAAGCAGCAGTAGTGTAAATACACAGCAACAACAGGTTCAGCAACACAGCAAAACCAACAGATCCAGTAAATGATCAGTAGAATAACCCAGTAACCGATTGAAATCCATCAACACCAAAATGCAATCACAGTCAAAGCAGAAGAGAGACAGGTACAAGACAACAGTAGTTTACTGATTTTTGAACAACTCTCAAAGAAAAGCAGCCTGATATTATTAAAGTAAAAATTCAGCTTCTTTTTCTTTTTTTTGCTCTCAAATTTTGATTTTTCAAAATTCAGTCCACTCTCTCCCTCCCTTTCTTGTCCAAAATCCAGTCTATTTAAAGACTAGAATTGGCCATTCTTTTATTCAAACATTTCACTTTCAGCCTGTTTTATTCCCTCCTCATGTGCATTTCTACCTTTTTATCATTAAACCCATGCTGTTACTGATTTCCCACTAGTAAAGTCACTAAGCCAACTCAAGTAGCACCTTTTTCACTAGTTAATTCAAAAACCTGTCAGTCTTTTAACTGGCCATTTCTATTTTAAAATTAAACCCCATGCTATTTCTGATTTCCAGCCACTAAAGGCACTTAACATATTATCACTCCCACTATTGATCCCTATTTTATTCATTAGCTTAGTGGTATATTAGTATTAAACTGACAGACCATTAAAACTGAACAATTTGCAGGTTTCTAACATCCCAACCTGTTAAAACTAATTGACGACATTTATCCAATCGACTATATGAATTACAACATATATAGTCAATAGCTAATGATCAGAATCGAACAGTACACACGGGTGATTCAAGTTGTACTGACAAAACAGGGAATTACCCTAGAAACTAATTAATCGACCAAACTCATTCCAATCGATTATATAGTTTAACACATACACTTAACAACGAACAAACGAAAATTTCGACCAAATAAAAGGTCTGATTTGGAGAAGAAGAAAAACAAAGCACAGAAATTGGAAATAAAATCATTCTAACCACACAAACGAATAACAAAACAAACAAAAAATAGAACAAACAGAAAGGGAAAAAGAATACCTCAAGTAAACTAGATGACCCAGGTCCGAACTCAGACTCAACCTTTTTGATGTCGAATGGACCTTAATCAAGTATTCTCAACGGAGAACACTTCGACTAAGGTCTATTAGACCCCACACCCTCTGCTAATTTGAACAAATTCCTGGTTCTTGGATTTCTAGGGTTCTTGGGGCTCAGATTAGGGGTTCGAGCTTTTCTGGTTAGATTCGAACCAAATCAGGCTTGGTTTGGTCACGGGGGAGGTCAAGGGAGTAACTGGTGTGAATTTGGGGTCGGTTAGTATAGGTTGAGGTTTGGCTCGAATCTTCA